TTATTGGATGCAGACCTGGCATTCAACAACACCAGGCGTAGAATGGAAGGATAGCTGAACTGGCTGCCTCGATACTGAGGGTTGGTTTCAGTCTCAGAACAATGGACAGCCTTCAAACATCTGTCCATCATTCTTACATGAGTGGGGACTGAGCCAACGCTGTATCTACCTCTACCCGTGATCACAGAAATATTCTGGGGCCCCTCGCTGGGAGGGCAGGCCTTCCATTCCATATCCAAAAAAGGAGGGGAGGGAGGGAGGGAAAGAGGGGGAGGAGAGGCAAGAAAGTAGGGAAAAAAGAGAAAGGTAGAAAAAGAAAAAAAAAGCGAAAATTAATTTAATACAAATAAATCAAATAACAGAGGAAAAATAATAGTCCTTGGATAAATTATAAAAATAATAGTCCTTGGATAAATTATACGATTTTTGCAGCAGTACTTGATGAGTAACAGTGTCATAGGCAGCTGAAAAGGTCAACAGAGCCTACACTGTAATCTTCCTAGTTTCAAAACCATCCTCAGGATGTTGCCTAATTGTAGGATTTGTGCTATACTACAGGGTGGATTTTATTTAAATCAAATTGATTTAAATCATGATTCAAATGTAAAAAAATCAAATTTTTATGACTTACTGTAAACAAGATAAAATTTTATTTAAATCATGATTTAAATCAGTTTTATTTTAAAAAGACCATCCACCCTGCTGTACAATTTGTTCCAGTTTTAAAACATACTGTAATAGAAAAAAAGTCAAGGAAGCAGCAAGCCAGCCAGGCACTGGTTGCTTGGCATACAGGTACTCACTCACCAAATCAGCCAACAAGAGAAAAATGTACCACAAGCTATGCCTAACCAACAGTGTATATAGTGAGTGGCTCACTGGCAACTTGGCACAGTCACAAAGTCCACCCTCCTGTCCCACACATCCCAGCATAAGCAAACAAAACAGTCCCCACCCAAAATAACCCAAATGTGCACCTTTAACAGAATAAATACACAGTAAATTAACCAAATAGCTGGCTGGATAGCTCAGTGAGTTAAGCATCTGGCTATGGAGCCAGAGATTGGGAGTTCAGTTCCCCAATGTGCATCCCAGAAGAGCCAGCCTGTGTGGTCTTGTGCAAGCTGCATAGTCCCAGGATGCCCCTAGATGAAGAAGTGAATGGTAAGCCACTTTAGAGTACTCTTTACCTGGGAAACCCTGACAAGGATTGCCATAAGTCAGACTAGATGACACACAGTTATGCAACTGGCTGGATACCTCAGTGAGTTAAGGATTTAGTTGCCGAGCCAGAGGTTGGGAGCTCAGTTTCCCACTGTGCATCGCAGAAGAACCATTTCGTATGGCCTTGGACAAGCTCCACAATCCCAGGATGCCCCTAGAAGGAAGTGGTAGACCATTTCTGCATACTCTACCCAGAAAACCCTGAAAAGAATTGCCATAAGTCAAAACTGACTTGATGATACATAATTAAAATTTTAAATTAACCATAACAGTTTTTTTAATCAGTCAGAGAAAGCATCCTGCTACATACAAGGGAGAAAAACAGAAAGCAAGCAACTACAACCCTCTCTCCTAAAAACCAAGAAAAGCGAGCAAATAAAATCATGAAATACAATTCAGAGCCCCCACAAACCAAAACTAATAGAATATGAAGAGATTTCTCTTCCCCTGTACCATCTGATCCCTTCTCTTTTCTTGTTTGAGTCCAGCAACAGCAGGGAGGCCAAGAAACAGAAAAATAGTCCAAGAAAGGAAGAAAAAATCTCCTCCAAAAAAATCAAAGGGAAAAAATAAAATAGTATTAATCAGAAAGAGGCAGGCTGTCTAGCATCAGCAAAAAATAATCCAAAGAAATGGAGGAGGGGGATTCTAAAAATCAAGAAAAAAGGGAAGGATCCAAGATGAAGGTGCAGGCAGGCAAAATCTAAGATGGAGGGCACTAGGATCTCAGCACACCACAATCTCACAACAAACGATAAAACAAAGCACTCCTCATTTGGTTCTGTTTTGGACTCAAAATTCCTTCTGCCCCCGGAACTTCTGATTGGCTGTTGACAGCAGCCCTCATGATGCTAATGGATGAAAAAATCTGGTGCAATTTGCCATACAAAGGGCACCAAAAGTTTGCACAAAAGAAGGAACATGAAAAAGTATGAAATCTTTGTGTACCCTTCATTTATAAACACAAATCATTTGTGTTAGAGAGGCTGTCTTCTGGCAATCACCAAATTACACGAATTACAATGTGCCATTTTTATAGTAATTTTTCTCACCTAGGATATGCAAATTAGATTGCTTTGTTAATTCGTTCTGCTGTTTAAGCTAGAAGTATGGGCTTTCTTTTCAGTTCATATATTCATTCTTCTTTTATATGTTTGATTTCTGAAAAAGGAAAAACCACCTTAGTCACATCACTTGACTACTAATGTTATTGCAGCTGTACATAGGAGTTATCATCAGTAATAGATAATTTGGCCCTCAAGTGCAGAAACCAGCAAGCCTAGGGTGCACCAGTGACTGTCTACCTTGTTGCCAAGAGACACTGCTAGGGTAGACTTTTTTTTAATGCCATCATCTCTAAATCAGCAAAGTACTAGTCCTTATATAAATTGCACAGGAGCAATTTTTCTAAAGCCTTATTTTCTTCTTCAGGAAGGAGATCTTTACTTGCTCATAGATGTCCATAATATTTGTAAACATAAGTTCATAGCAGTTCTCTTTAAGTGCATTTGCTGTGCAAACTAGGGCTTTCATGTCCTCTGGCCTAATGCTCTATGAAGTTTCTGGGAAGGCTGGAGCAGCAATTTGTTACAGTGATTGAAATCCAAGCCTTCCACTATTTGACTGTTTAATTGATCAGTGCTATTTTTAAAGTCAAATGGCAATCCTAATCAGAAACGTTCTGTTCTGAGGCACTACTGAAGTAGATGTTCTTTAACATTTAACTATGGAAATAAAGTTCCAAATTTGCACTAATTCTTTTTCTTTAAAATATATAGTTTCAGCTTGTATTAGTAGTTTGTGAAAACTACTGCACTTGCTGTCAGTTGATAAAGCCTGTATTCCCAGAGATGGGCAACCTAGCTCTAAACATGTTTTAGTTTATATAAACAGCATTGGATTTAGTAGAAGACCTTATGCTTGAGACTGAAATAGCATGTAACATTTAAGAGAGCTAAGCAGCACAATAATAAAAAAGGGAACATATTTCAAGAAAGTTTTTATTCATAAGGAAGCATTTATGACCCACTGAGGGCATTTTATAAAGTAAGATATGTACGTATTTGGGGTGGAAATTACAGAAATGAGGGCTAAACTGATCTTGGTACTCTAATACCTAGACAGCTAGGAAGATAAGCAAGGGGGTCCTATAAAATCAATTACTGTATGAGCTATCTCTGAAGACAAAAATGATGGTACTGAAGCTGTCCTACTTCAGGCATATTGTGAGAAGGCAAGATTATCTGGAAAAGACAATAATGCTGGAAAAGGTGGATGGCAACAGGAAAGGAGGAAGAACAAATACGAGATAGATTGACTCCCTAAAGGGTTTGACAGGGTTGAGTTTACAAGAACTGAGCCAGGCTATTGAGGACAGGCATTTTGGAGATCTCTCATTCATAAGGTTGTCCTAAGTTAGAGGCGACCTAATGACATGTAACAACAAAAACTGTTCAGCTCAGTGTTCATGGGATAACTTTTATTTGGGTGGCTGGAATTAATTTTAAAATGAAATGAGATTTATCATTTGTAACATTCTTACAATAATTATATATTATAACATTTGAATGATAAAGTCTAGTATTAAAACAGTTCTGTATAGGAACAACATTGTATGGTGCAAGGTACCAGTGACTTTTATTGAAAATAAAGACGCTCTCAAGATATATTCGATAAGAGAGTATAGATTTTGTATATAGATCTTAGACAAGCCTGCAATCCTATAAACAATTATTAGTGAGAGATTTCCTATCAAACATAGTGGCTGAAATCACATTGGTGTAATTTATGTGATGAAGCTGGATGATCTCACCATCCAGCAACAGTTATCTTTAATTTAAGTGAAAAGTATTCTATCCCCCCTTCAGGTCTACAGGTTTCCTAAGGATCCTTTTGGCTCTTGGGAAGCCTTTTGGAGCCTTGTGCTGTGGAAGCTTTTAATATTGGAAAATCTCTACCAAATTGCTGGCAGTGGTTCTGCCACTGGATTGGGACTGCTGCTAACAATCTGGCAGAAATTTTCTTATATTAAAGGATTCCCCCATCCCAAGACTCCAAAATAGCAAAAGGCTTCCTGGCAAGTCTCAGAACCTGAAAGATTTAATTTTTTTTAATTGAATGAAATAAAATATATCCATTCCTGGATCATGATGTCATGCAGCTAGCACAGTGTAAATTTGTGCCAACAGGATTTCAGCCAGTGAAACATGGACAAGATTTTGCTTTATGCTTATTAACTGCTGTGTATATCAGGGGCACATACACTAAGGCTGACACCCAGAATTAAGAGATAATGAGCAGATAGAATCTTTTAAAATTCTTTTTCCACCAGCATACATTCTTATCCATCAGACCTGAGCTGCAGTCTTTTAAAAATTGCTTTTAATTATGTTCCTTTTATATCAATGAGTCTATTGTATTTTCAAATACAGGTAGATGTTTAGCATGTAAGTATTTTATTTTATTTATTATTTTATTTATTTTATTTATATCCCGCCTATCTAGTCTCTCAGGACCACTCTAGGCGGCTTACAACAAGTACAGTACTATATAACAATTAAATTGGTATTAAATTTTATGTGGCAGAAAGATTAGCAAAAAAAAGATTTACACAAATTAAGACAGGTTTTTTGTTGATGTGTAAATTCTAAAAGCAAATAACTAGTTTTGTTCTAGTGTTTATATAGTGTTCTGCTTTTCGTATTGTATTTTAGTGCTGAAACCTGATGACACATTTGAAATGTTAATTGACCAAACAGTTGTCAGCAAGGGAAGTCTTCTAGAACACATGGTTCCGCCTGTGAATCCTCCAAAAGAAATAGAAGATCCCAATGATAAGAAGCCAGAGGACTGGGATGAAAGAGCTAAAATTCCTGATCCTGATGCTGTCAAGCCGGATGACTGGTAAAGGGAGCCTCTGCTGTATCCCTTCCCACTTTCACCTTCCCTCCTCTGTCAGTTATTATATAGTAAGCAGATTTTTGTGTGTGTTTTGGTTTGTATTTTTATTTTATGCAAAGCAGCAGCCTTTTAAAGACAATTTGTATTGTAAAGATTTCCAGTTGAAACACCAATATAGTATTTCACAGCATTTCCTGTACCTTATGAAGCGGGCTGCCATCTATAAAGCAGGCCTAATAAAACCAGTTAGCCTTTAAAGTGCAGTAAGACTCTTTGTTGTTCTATATCAGGCAAAATCCAAAGAAACAAAAAAAGACAAAAACATGTGCCACCTTAAGGACTAACTGCTGTATTTTAATGTGAGATTTTGTGCACAAGTCCACTTCATCAGACACATGGGAAAATATTTTATAATAATGCAAGTATGTAATTGTTTATGAGCTTAGATGTAACTTTAGAAAGCACAAAATACTTGGAGTATCTGAAAAGATTTATATTCTTTAGTTACATTGAAAAGAATTAAGGTGTGATTTATCTAGCCTTCTGCAATATTGTCCATTATCTGGTACAATTATGTCTTAAAGGGATGAAGATGAACCACCCAAAATAGAAGATCCTGGTGCAGTTAAACCTGAAGGCTGGCTTGATGATGAACCAGAATATATTCCAGATCCTAGTGCAGAAAAGCCAGAGGACTGGTAAGAATGTCTGTCTGTTGTGCCAATACTTACTGACTCTAATTTCTCTATCAAATTGGTTTGAATATTCAAATATTGTTTTATTTATTATTTTATGACCTGTTTTGTTTTATCTTGTCTTTCCATTTATGCAATAGTTGTAATCATTTTATATATCTGTGTAGTCTGCTCTGAAGCCTAATGAAATACTAATGAAAACATGTATAGAAATTTTAAAGCAAAATAAAGTATGAAACTCTAAAATATGAAAATGAATACATAAACTAGAAGACTGTAGCCAGTGTGTGCTAGGGTTTCTGCTAATTAGGGGCTAATGATAACTATATTTTTATAGCTTTTTGTTTGATTATTTACACAGAGGTCATAGGACAATCTAATTAATATGCTGTGGATTTTATTAACACTTCATATATTAAACAGAAATGTTTATCATAATTTCCTTTAGCTTGTGCTATTCTTGACTGTCACATTAAACAACAGTGCGCAGCAGTATATTAAAAACCTGAGCATCCTAGCTGTTGAGAAAATGATACAGTTCTTCATGGCTTCTGTGAATGCACACAATTGGGTTGTTCTGCGCCTGCACAGGATGTTTTGGAAGTTTCTAGAGAAAGACATGTGATTAGTAAAATGTTCCCCCGTGGAGTGCATGCTCTGCTCTCTCAATGTCCCCTCAGTTCCTTTTTACCGCAGCTTTGGTTGGACGTATTTTGGAACGATAGAACGAGTACTTAATCTAATCAGCTATTTTAATCGTTTCATTTATATTTTTCAATCATCTCTTTTATTAGATGTTTGTTTTCTTTTCCAATTTCCCATTCGCCGCTTCCTCTCTTCCCACGTTTTTCTTTCCTCCCCCCTCGCCACCTTTCCCTTCCTCTTTCCTCTACTTTTATGCGGGGGGGGGCTTTGTACAAACAAGATTCTGCTTACAGACAGTCATGACGTCTTTTTTGCTTAGGGGTACAATATCTAACGCACTCGTGCCCCGAGTGTAAAAAGCTCACTAAGCCCGCCTTGAAACTATGCCTACAAAGGCTTCGATGTTACCTTTGGGAAAGGTCCCTTAATCCACCCATGGATCCAACAATATCTCTGAATCCACGGGAAACTGCTCGTTCCATATCGACTCTACCACCTCGACAAAAGGACCCTTCGAAGTCGAGCTCGACCTCTACCTCGAGAGTTCCAACCCGCCTCGATGGCTTGTCTAAGAATAAGAAAGATAAGACTAAGACTAAGAAAACAAAAAACCTACAAAATCAACTCAAATTGATCCACCTCAACCAATGATTCCTTCACTCATTCTCGAGGAGTCATCTAGAGATGACCCTGACAGCGTGGAGGATACTCCCGCCATACGAAACGGTTTAGATTGAGCCCGAAAGCCATCAACCCTAAAATGATACCAAAATAAATTGAAATCTTTCCTCTCCTTTGTTCATTCTCTTACCTGCAACGCCAGTTTCTTTGAAGACCCTACTTACCTTTATCCTACATCTCTTTCATCTCGGACGATCTCATTCTACCTTGAAGGTTTACATTTCAGCTGTTGTAGCTCACCAGCCTTCTTATTCTAATTCAGCGAGGCTTTTTTCCTACCCAACTTTAAAGAAATTCCTCAAGGATCTCCAAAATATTCATCCTTCACAGCAACACCCTCTCCCTCAGTGGTCCTTATAGCTAGTCCTCAACGTGCTCACTCAACCACCCTTCGAACCAATGGCTACTTGCAATCTCAAGTTACTTTCTTTAAAGACATCATTCCTTGTAGCAGTAACATCTGCCAAACGTGCCAGTGAACTTGCGGCCCTCAGATCAGATCCACCTTATCTTCAATTTCATCCAGACAAAGTTACCCTCTATTTTGATGTATCATTTTTACCCAAAATTGTCTCTGAATTTCATCTCAATCAACCATTGATTTTACCAACTTCCATCTCCTCCCACAGCCCTCGAGCACATGCTCCACATGCTTGATGTATGACACTCCTTGGCCTTCTACAGTGATAGAACAAAAGGATTCAGGAACTCTCCAAGGCTTTTCTTATGTTTTCTAGGTCCTCATAAGGGTACCCCAGCCTCATCTCAAACGATTTCTCACTGAATTGTTCAGGTTATATCATTGGCCTATGAGCTTTCAGGCAAGACACCTCCTGAACATTTAAAAGCTCATTCGACCAGAGCACTTTCAACCTCTACTGCTCTCCACTGTGGAATAGACCTCCCACACATTTGCTGTGCAGCTACATGGTCTAACCCACTGGTTCTTAACCTTGGGTTACTCAGGAGTTTTGGATTGCAACTCCCAGAAGCCTTCACCACCAGCTGTGCTGGCTGGGGTTTCTGGGAGTTGCTGTTCAAAAGCATCTGAGTAACAGAGGTTAAGAACCACTGGTCTAACCCATCGACCTTTGTGAAACAGGATTGGTTTGATGTCCGGGCAAAAAATGATGCTGCTTTTGGCAGAGCGGTCCTGACATCTCTTCTACTGTGACGTCCCACCATCCGGTGAGCTTGTCAGTCACCCAATTGTGTGCATTCACAGAGGCCAAAAAGAAGAAAGAGAGGTTACCTGCCTGTAACCATGGTTCTTCTAGTGGTCCTCTGTGAATCCACACATCCCACCCATCCTCCCCTCTGTCCATCACATTGTCTTTTTTAATACAGTACTTTGACAGCGGCGGACTCTTTCAGGAACTGAGAGGACATTGTGAGGGCGGAGCATGCACTCCATGGAGGAACGTCTTACTAATCACGTCTTTAAGCTCTAGGAACTTTGAAACGTCCTGTGCAGGCTCAGAACAACCCAATTGTGTGGATTCACAGAGGACCACTACTAGAAGAACCATAGTTATAGGTAGGTAACCTCTTTTTATTATTAAAAATTGAACAAAATATGATCTACAAGAAGACACATTTTAGGTTAATGTGCCAGCTTCATATTTTGTGTTGTATGGATTTGTGTTAAAGATACTATTTTTGAGCTTTGTAGCCACATCTTTCGAAAATGTTTGAAGATCATTCTGAAATCTCAGAGATGGTCAGTTGTTGTTACCAGCTGGTGGCCACAGCTTATTAGTCATAATGTGAATATGTATTACAGACTAGCATAGAGTTGTTTGAACACATGTTTTTATCATTTATCTAGGGATGAGGAAATGGATGGTGAATGGGAAGCTCCACAGATTCCTAATCCAAAATGTGAGACTGCACCTGGTTGTGGAACCTGGATACGACCCATGATGACCAATCCTAAATATAAAGGAAAATGGAAACCACCTATGATAGAGAACCCTAATTATCAGGTAACTGCAAAAGTTATATATCTGTTGAATTCCAGGTATTTCACTGGAGTCTATGTCAGCTTCTTGCTGGTAATTAGCAGAGTCCTTCTGAAGGAAAAAAAACACACATGCTCTTATTCTTCAAGACACGTGGTATTTACAAAATGTACAAATGTACAGAGCAGCAGTCCTTTGACATGGATTTTCATAGGTTCAGAGTTAACTAAATCTGCAACCCTGTGTGGACTTACATCACAATAATTCCTATTGCACAAAATGGAACATGCATCTGAGTAAATATATATGATAGCACTGTTGGTCAATACCTGACTTGAAGTATAATCAGAAACCTTTAATTCAAAACATATTTTAAGAAAGTATCTTCTTTCTTTTAATTAAACCACATATTTAACATTGCAAAAAATGAAGTCTGGTCCAATCAAAAGGACTAGTTGCATCTTGGCTGTTGAAGCACAGATAGCATTGTCTAGCTTTTCTGAAGCAGATGGAGGGTATCATCTATCCAACTACTCAAAACTGAACTTATGCAAAGTACCAGTGCTCCTATTCCAGAGTCTAATAGTAACAGTAATTCAGTTCCTACTTATACAAACTGTCCAAGGGTTTTCTAGGTACACAGTTCTCAGAAGTCCTTTACCAGCCCCTCTGAGACCATACATAAGTTACTCCAATAGCAACACACATTGAGTGATCTCAGCAGGCCCTTATCATGGGAGGCATAGTGAGAATTTGAATTCCAGGACCCTAGTTTCGCAGTTGAGTGCACCAACACACTGAGCTATTCTAGATTTTAAAAAGCCCAGTGCCAAAAGTGCAGCTCCTTATTTATACAGGTTTATGTGGCTCTAGTTTGCAGAACCTTTACATTTTCCCCACATTTTAAAAAGGAGCAAAAAACCTGTAGATCTCCAGATGTGGTGTCTCTCATTTAGACTAAGGTATACTGTCATATGCCCTGTTTAGTCTCTAAAAAGGGGCTTTACAAAGCCAGAGGTTGACTTCCAGTCACTTCCAGTTTTGTTTCTTTTTTGGTGTTGGTGTAGCCCATGAATTGTCTAGGGCACAAAAAGCTAGATTCCAGACCCCTAGAGTTTAACTACCCCTACATTGAAGGGACGTGGTGATGCTGTGGGTTAAACCGCAGAAGCCTCTGTGCTGCAAGCTCAGAAGAGCTGCAGTCGTAAGATCGAATCCATGCGACAGAGTGAGCCCCTGTCGCTTGTCCCAGTTCCCGCCAACCTAGCAGTTCAAAAGCATGCAAAATGCAAGTAGATAAATAGGTACCACCACGGTGGGAGGTAACGGCGTTCTGTGTCTAGTGGCGCTGGCCACGTGACCACGGAATATTGTCTTCAGACAAACGCTAGCTCTATGGGTTGGAAATGGAGATGAGCACCGCCCCCTAGAGTTGGACATGACTGGACAAATTTTCAATGGGAACCTTTACCTTACACTGAATTGATGGCAACTGATGCCTTTCAGAGTTTATGGAATGCTAGTGCGAGTTATTTTTTTTATTCAGGGTACAACTAAACGGCAGGAAAAATGTGAATGGTTCAGTTTTCCTGTGTAAATTCGCTTTAGCTGACCACAAAGGAGTCAGCACACAGAGAGAAAGGAAAATGAGCAATGAGTTTTGTTTGCAGCTTAAGGCAGCTCAAATGTAGCTACAGTAGAGCTACTTTGACAAGCTGCAAAAGACAAACTGTCAATCTCACGTATGTATGTGTTACATCAGTATTTCTGGTCAGGAACTAGAAATTAAAACTAGAGAAGGACATGGACTGTTCAGTGGTTCGTGCCAGTTAGTCCTTTGGATGAACAGGTGTTTGGTGGGTTCCTCCTCCGGTACTCAGAGACAGCTACCCAGCTTCCCTGCCTCCTCTGGACATTGCCTCTGAGTGGGAGCCCAATGGGGGAGTCAGACTGGGAAGTGGTAAACACCTGTTCATCTAAATGACAAACTGCCAGACCAGTGATTTGTGCCCACCCCTAATTAAAACACACTGATGAATTGCAGAACAAGAAGTAGTGAAGTTGTCTAGATTGAGCGAAGCAAGTCTCTGGCATGTAAAGACTGGGTTGAAAATTCAGCTTCTTTCCCCCCTTGCTCCTGCTCCCTGGATAGATATTACTATTGCTTTAGGTCTTTTACAATGGCTCATTGCCAATTTCCTCTACTCAGACTCCATCAGCTGCTCTTGTAAAGGCTGATTGCCTATCTCCTCCTTTTTCTATTTGTTTCCTAAGTGCTCTAGCACGGAGGTCCCCAACCTCCGGTCTGCGACCTGGCAGCAGTCTGCAGCCTATCCAGGACCGGACCACAGATAGAGATCTCCTACCCCCCGCGAGCGCACCGTGCACATGCATACGAGCGTGATGTGCGCATGCACGTGAGTGCGTTCTGCCCCCGCAAGTGTACTGTCCGTCGGTGCAACGTGCACACGAGCAAGCTGTGCACCCCTGCGGGCGTGCCACACACCCCCAACCGGTCTGTGGTTGGGAACCACTGCTCTAGCACACTGGCGCTCACATCAAACCTTTTAATAACAATAACAAATGGTTTGGAGACAAGGGATGCTTGCTTGATTGAGGGGGATTGACCACCCCCATGAGTGCCCCTTTGTTTCCTCTCTCTACACCTTGAAGTAGGAAGCTGGGAGAGCCAGCTTCTAGTTGCCCATTCAGCCTTGAAGCTGCATCACCTGAAGCAGTCACACTATCTGAATCAATATGAAAATACTAGATGAGGGGCGGAGTAGAATTCCCAGTGGCAAAGGAGAAATTACAAATTAGGGAGTAAAACTCAAATCTGATTCATATTGACTTTTACATTGTGTAGTCAGCAGAAAATAATATCCATCTGACTGTCCCAATCCCAAAGCATTGTCAATGTAGCAACCCCCTGACATTGCTAAACGCTCACATGTTATAAGTCATTTTTAAAGAAGTTTGAGGAGTCACAAGGTAAAATCTGTCTTCTATTCATTAGCCCAGATATATGTGGCTTCAAAGGCTGTTTTTCTGGTTCCAACCCATCACTCTCCCACCCTACCAAATACTGGCTTTCTCTGGAAAATTGAGAATTGCAGTTCTTGGAAGTGTCCAGGGGTGGTGATTCTTTCTTCATTATTATTATTATTATTATTATTATTATTATTATTATTATTATTATTATTATTATTATTATTATTATTATTATTATTATTATTATTAACACTAACACTAACACTAACACTAACACTAACACTAACAAGAAGTAGTAGTAGTCGTCGTCGTCACGGAGGTTCAGGGAGGGCTACAGTGTTTAACCTACACATACAAAATCTCAGCTACCATCCACACTTGTTGAAAAACGGCTTTGATACTTGCTTTGTGTTTAGATGAGAAGTGTTTAGCTAATAAAAAAAGGAGTCCGCTTCTGGGATTTTCCCTTGTTTGGTATCACTTTGTGAATGTTTGTAGCACAAGAGGGTATCCTGTGTAGACCATCTTCACTGCTGCCATTGATTTTGTCAAAGTACAGGCTGCCCTTTGCTATGTTAAACCTGACATCCTTTTTCCTGCTGGCAATGAGGGCACAATGTTGTGCAGTGATATCGGGCCACTTCCTAGCATTTTGAATTGTATATACAAAAACACAATATAAACCAAAAACCACAATATAAACCCATATAAATCATATTCATAAACCAAAGGTTTTTTTATTGTTTCCAAACCATTTGAATTTTGTAAAAAGTTTATAGATTCTCAGCTCTGTCTACTAGATTGAAGAGCTATGTATGCATCACCTAGCAGGGCAACCAGAGATCATTCCACAGTCATAGTAGCCCTGACTGGATGACTGCGATGTCAGTGTGCTTTGGTATGAGTTTGCTCTTACCTTGGATATAGGATCTTCTAACTCTAAGTTCAAGAACTGACAAATTGTATCCACTATTTAGGTGTATGTGAGAGTGATAAGCTTCTGCATTGAAAAAAGTTTCATTTTTTCATTGTCTGGATATGTACAGATACAGATCATTGTTTTTCTCAGTTCATTAATCCAACTTAAATGTATGACAGCATTATTTTTAGTGCTGAATGTAAAAGCCCCTCTTTTTAATACCATAAACAATCAGGTTAAGGTCCATGTCTGAAACCACCCATGTGATATACATCCATAGTAGTCTGGGTATCTGATGGTCTTTGAAAACCAACCTTCTTGTGTGCTACATGTTTTTATACAGAAATTGTATCTAACTTGACCAATTTTTTTTAATTGACTCAATTTGTCAGGCAAATTAAAATCTCATGTGGTGTTTTTGTTTCTTTTCTTACAGGGGATATGGAGTCCTCAAAAAATCCCTAATCCTGATTATTTTGAAGATCCCCATCCTTTCAGGATGACTCCTATTGGTGCTATTGGCTTAGAGCTTTGGTCTATGACATCTGATATCTACTTTGATAACTTCATAATCTGTTCGGAAAAGGAAGTTGCTGATCGATGGGCAGCGGATGGCTGGGGCTTTAAAAAATTAGTTGCAAGTGCTAATGAAGTAAGCATTCACAACATCTTTTTGTACTTAAAGTACATTCTGATAATAAATATTCTGAGTCAAAACTGATGTTTTAAAAATTCTGGGCATAATTACTTTTGTGGCTTTTAGCACTTAATTGCTCTGAGTATTTTGTACAGAGCTAATGAAAATATTCACGAAGGCTTTCATGGCCAGGATCTAATGGTTTTTGTGGGTTTTTCGGGCTCTTTGGCTGTGTTCTGAAGGTTGTTCTTCCTAACATTTTGCCAGTCTCTGTGGCCAGCATCTTCAGAGGACAGGAGTAGC